GTAACGTTAACTTTGATATAAATGCACTAGTAGTAGATAGGGTCACTGAACGGTTGCCAACCGTTTCGGTTGACACCTCGGCAATGATTGAATTTAAAAATTTGACTCTAGCAGACGACACTTACGCCGTTCCTGGAAACATAGACATGCTCATTGGGGCATCGCTTTTCCCTCATCTTTTGTTAAACAATAAGGTCAGGGGCAACTCCTCGCATACCGCGCCTTACGCACTGGAAACCGTATTGGGCTATGTGATCCTTGGCTCCGCCCCCATCCTAGATAGTATTTCGGCAGCATCTTATTGTGGTATGGCTGTCGAACCGCTCGAGTCGTTAGTCCGCAAATTTTGGGAGATGGAGGAGGTGAACGTCCCACCCATAGCTAGTTCAGCTGACAGGATATGCGAGGAAATTTACGTCCGCACGACCGTTCGTGATCGCGACGGTAGATATAGTGTAGCGCTACCCTTTAAGGGAGATGTTTTATCTCTCGGCGATTCGCGTCAAATGGCGGAAAAACGTTTCTACAGCTTGGAGCGTAGGATGCTCGCTTCGCCCCAGTTAAAGGAAGCTTACGACGGCGTCATTAACGAATATATAAGAGAAGGTTACATATCACTTGTGGCTTCGAAATTAGATAACTACGAAGACACACCGTCGTATTTTATACCACACCACGGAGTCATTAGAGAGGACAAACTTACATCTAAATTACGTGTAGTGCTCGACGCTAGTGCTAAAACTAGCACTCACCTGTCGCTTAACGATATCCTCTATAGTGGGCAAAATTTACAGGGCAGTTTATTTGATATAATAGTCAATTTTCGTTTGTTTAGTATAGCACTATCCGCCGATATTCGCCAAATGTTTCTTTGCATAGGGGTCCGTGAATGCGACCGTAGATTCCAGCGCATTTTATATCGTTTCAACCCAAAGGAACCTCTAATGGTGTTTGAATTTAACCGCGTTTGTTTTGGTTTAAAGTCGAGCCCATTTCATGCGTTACGCACGGTGAGACAGCTCGCTCACGATGAAGGTCCCTCTTATCCTAAAGCTAAGAGGGCAATTGAGAGCGGATTATATATGGATGATTTTGTGTATTCGGTCGATAGCGTGGAGGAGGCCACCCTAACCACCGCCGAGGTTATAAGGCTCATGAAATCGGGTCAATTCGATCTTGTGAAGTGGACTAGTAATTCGCGTCCGGTTTTAGATACAATCCCACTATCACACCGTCTTTCGGCGATAAAGGAATTCGACGATTCCGATACACACAAGGTGCTCGGTCTGTGTTGGTCACCAGAGTCCGACGTGTTTAGCCTTAAGGTAAATCCGCCCGTAGAGAAATGCACAAAGCGCACAATACTGTCATGCGTTGCTAGATTATGGGACGTCATGGGTTTCGTAGCTCCGGTGGTATTATACGCTAAGCTTTTGATTAAACAACTTTGGTTATTTGAATGCGATTGGGATGACTCGCCGCCTGACAGCATTGTTCGATTGTGGCAGCGCTTTAGAGAGGAACTTCCTTTACTAAGAGAAATTAAAATACCGCGTCATATAAATGTCGATAGAAATAGCAGCATAACGGTTGTTGGATTTGCAGACGCCAGCGAGAAGGCTTACGGGGGTGTTGTATATTTCCATGTCCAGAATAATGGTAGAAATTCGATTAGCCTCATTAGTTCTAAGTCGAGAGTCTCCCCCCCCGTAAGGTTGTCTCTCTGGCGCGCTTAGAGCTTTGCGCAATATTAGTACTCACCAAGCTTATTACCACAGTTATCGGCGCATGTAGGGATAGAGTTCACATAGAAAGAATATTTGCCTTTTCCGACTCCACCGTCGCCTTATGTTGGGTTCATTCTTCACCCCACCGTTGGGATACGTTTGTCGCGAACCGAGTGGCCAAGATCCAAGACGAGTTAGAAACGCGGAACTTTTATCACGTGTCCGGTAAGGAAAACCCTGCCGATTGTCTATCCCGGGGACTCACCCCGATGCAAATAATGGACCACCCGCTTTGGTTCCATGGACCTTCTTGGGTTCACTTGGACCCCTCACAATGGCCAATAAACGATTTCGAACCTTCGTCAGTGTCACAACCGCCGGAAGAGAAGAGACACGCTCTAGTGGCGAACGTTTCGAGCGAGGTTTCTCCAATCATTGCTCTGGCGAACCGCTTGTCCTCTTGGTCGAAATTATTGCGTAGCGTAATTTACGTTTGTCGATTCGCGAAGCTTTTACCGCGACGTTCGTATGTCTTAGCATCCGATTACAACTATGCCGAGTCGCTAGTATTACGTGAACTTCAACGTGCACACTTCTCTGAAGAAATTACAAGATTACAATCGAATAGAGCTTGTAGTCGCGCCTTTCAACGCCTTAAGCCATTTTTACAGGATGGGATTGTAAGGGTAGGTGGACGCTTGTCCAACTCGCAGTTGAGTTTCGACCAACGGCACCCTATAGTTTTACCGCGTAAAGACCATATCATGAACTTATTAGTCGATTATCATCATAAATTGAACTCGCACGCTGGCCCCGATTTATTGATGTCGATCTTGCGTCAGAATTATTGGATTCTTTCTGCACGTAGTTTAATACGCAATCGGGTGCACAGATGTATAGCTTGCTTTCGGGCACGCCCCAAGCCGTCATTTCCGGAAATGGCGGAACTTAGATCTTGTAGAGTGATACAATCGGTAAAGCCCTTCACGCACACCGGGTCTGATTTTGCTGGTCCGTTTAAGGTCACGCTCACTCGCGGGCGTGGTATAAGATCCACAAGGGCTTACGTCTGCATTTTCGTATGTCTAACTACTCGAGCAGTGCATATAGAACTCGTTGATGATCTAAGCACAGCAGGCTTTATGGGTGCATTTAAAAGATTTCTATCGCGCAGAGGCCCTGTAAGTAGATTATATTCGGATAACGGTACGAACTACGTCGGTGCAAAACGTATTCTATCGGAACTACATGAGCTCTTAGCTAGCAAGTATTATAATTCGGAGTTCGCTCACATTCTAGCCGAGAACCGCATTGAATGGTCTCTGAACGTCCCAGCCGCGAGTCATTTTGGGGGCAATTGGGAGACTAATATTAAAAGTCTAAAGAGCCACTTATACCGAGTAATAGGAGATCAAATTTTGTCCTTCGAAGAGCTAAGTACGGTGCTCGCTCAAATTGAATGCGTAATGAATAGCCGCCCACTTTGTCGGACGTTATCTAGTGACCCCTCGGAACCGCTGGCTCTAACTCCAGCACATTTTTTGACTTTAACGCCTCTAAGGTATCTGCCCGCCGCGGATATGGATGAGAACAGACTTAGCATTTCCACACGCCACAAATTATTAGATCGGTTAGTGCAATCGTTTTGGAAACGATGGAGGATGGAATACTTGCATACTTTGCAGTCTCGGCAAAAATGGAACACAGCGACAGAGCCTTTAGCTGTAGGAACCGTAGTTGTGCTCACTAAGGAGAATACGCCGCCTCTCCACTGGCCGTTAGGAATCGTCGAGGAGGTCTTTCCCGGTTCCGACGGAGTAATTAGGATAGCTCGCGTTAAGACCACGGTTGGGTCTTACCTACGTCCGGTTATCCGTTTGTGCCCCTTGCCTCTTCCATAATTTAAATTAGCTTTTTAGACTGAAATTGTAGTTTAATTTAGGTAATCTTAGCGTTAGTTAGTTATTTGTTAGTCGATCTTAGCTCTAGTTGTTTAGTTATTTTTTTTTTGAAGGAAATCCTTCAAGGGCGGGGGAGATGGTTGCGCGGAAAACCATTCGCGTTTTTTTTATTTTTGACGGTAGGAACTTGTCGAATCATTATTCCCTTCCGAAACAATATCATTCGTACCCTCCTATCGACACATCGGGGTGGTGGGGTGGGAGGGGGAAAGAAGACGATTCTAGAACATCGCGTAATCACCCGAGCCGAGGATATATAAGACACGCGCGACCGACGCGCGCTCTCTTCTCCCGCCGCAGTCGTCGTTGAACTACAACCTCCTCTTCCCGCACGCTCGTTTGGAAACACCCCACTAGTGGAAACCGCTTTGGCCTGGAAGCAGTCGAGCTCCAGGAACCCGCCTCACCTCGTGTGAGATATCGTCGCGCACCGCCTCTCTCCGGAGTGTTCCGGAAGTCGCCGCCATAGTGATCGACAGGAAGAAGAAACCCCGGTGAGTCAATACTCCTTAATTATACCTGCTTGCTAATAATTTAACCCGCTCCAATTTGTGTTTTTTTTCCTAGTCAAGCAGGATTCCTTTCATCGATTCGACAAGTAATAGTTTAGTTTAGGGAAGAGCGAGTGCATTGTACCGCATGCTATAGTAGTCGCTTTACGTAAACGTAGAAGCAATCGCGTATACAGTCCACTTTAGTTAATATCTCGCGTAATAGGTTTGAGGTTTGACCGGGGAACTAGATTTCCGGCAGCTTTAAACACGTGGCTCCACCAATAATATATATGGCGTAGGGAATTGACGACCCCATCGCCCGCTGACGTAACAGTTAAGTGACAAAACTGCTACGTCAACGCAGTCAGTCAGCGCCTTGCGAGAGGTGTGAGCGCCGTGCCGCGGCAGAATTTAGGGTGCAGAGGCCCGTTTGTGCTTATGGCTACACACGAAACGGTGCCGGGCCTGGGCGTCTCCCGTTAATGGACGCCCAAATAATGGATGATGGATAAAAAGATAGTGCGCAAAGGGCCGCTGCCTGGGGTCGCCGGGGCGCGTCTGGAGCTGGCGCTGGACGCGGCAGCATGCGGGCCGCCAGCCGAGCGCGAGGAGCTGCACGGTCATCTACCAGCCCTCCGCATCCATCATCCCCACCAGAAGGCTTGGTGTCGGCTGGGTCTTCTCGGACTCAGCAAGCGGCACCCGCCGCTGGTGGAGCACGTCGCATGCGTTGGTCACAAGAAATGAATGCAAACGCACTGCGGGCGTACTTTAGGGCAAAAGGGGAAGAAACTGGATGTTTGGCGTATCGGGCTAGGATGCATCGTCTTTTTGCTGAGCTGGAGCCATCTTTAATCGTCACAGAGCAAAACCTGGCAGACCGAGTTCGGTATATCTTGCGCTCAAATATATTTGATGTCGCCGAACTCGAACGGCTACGACGTGAGGCTGTTCCCTCGTCGGATGAGAATGCTACGGCTGAGGATGCGGCGCCACAAATGGTAGAGCAACCCGCAAACGTGGATGCCGCCGTGAATACCCCAGTTGTGGTTGATTCAAACGATGATGGAACAGTCGCCCAGGAACTGGAATTAGAGCATATGAGGAGTATATTGGAAGAGGCGATTGTGGAAACGCGCAGTACGCCTCTCGAAAATCGACCGCGACTTCCCCGCATAGCCCTAAGCAAGCGGAATCGGGCTGTCGTGAGGGCTCTGAACCCAATGCTGGTTACCTATTTGGAAGCCAGCCGGGACTTTGCGAGACGGACTCAATTCTTTTTGGCGCCGCGCTGGCAGTCTGCCGTATCATAGGCGCCAAGGTTTCCACGGCTGGACGCGCTACTGGCCATAGTAGCGCTATCCCAGCATGGAGAAGAAGAATTGAGGAACGTATCGCAAAGGCTAGAGCTCTCATCGGCAGACTGATATGCTTCAGATCAGGCAACAACAGGCCAAGAATTGTGCGCACCGTCAGGATGGCGTTTGCTGGGACAAATGTCAGTTTGTCCCAGCCGGATATAACGCAAAAACTGACGGAGCGCATAGATGATCTGAAGCAGAGAATCGCTGCTTGGGGAAAGCGGATTCGGCGATATACCGAGAGGTCGACACGGTTCAACCAGAATCGTCTCTTCCAGAGTGATCAGAAGAGGCTCTATGAATCATTGGAGCGACCAATGGTAAGTGGAACGGGTCCAGCACCGGATCAGGCCGACACTGTAGCATTCTGGCGTGGCCTGTGGTCAGAGCCCGTAAACCACAGCGAGGGCCCTTGGACGGAAGTTGTGGCGAGTCAGTGTGCGGGTATTACGCCCATGGACCCCGTCATCATAACGCCGGATGACGTAGCTGAGGCGGTTCGTAGGGCCCCGAACTGGAAAAGTCCGGGGCTTGACGGGCTGCATCACTACTGGCTGAAGGGGTTCATGGTGTGTCACTCTGTGCTCGCCCGACAGTTTCAAGAGGCTCTCAACCAGAAGTCGCTCCCAAGCCTCTTCACTACTGGGATCACTCATTTAGTTCCTAAAGACCAGGGTACCACAGACCCGAGCAAATACCACCCCATCACGTGTCTACCGACCATATACAAGACACTAACATCCATTTTGAGCGCGAGAATCACTTGTCACCTGGACTCAAATCAGGTGATGTCGCGCGCTCAAAATGGATGTCGGGGCGGTGGTCGTGGAACCAAGGAACCACTCCTCATTGACGCGGTCATTGGCAAAGTGGTGAAACGCAACCGTCGGAACTTCTCCGCCGCCTGGATAGACTACAGAAAGGCATTCGACTCGGTGCCCCATACATGGCTAAAGAGAGTCCTCGAGCTGTACAAGATAGACTGTACAGTTAGAGACTTCCTCGAGCAGTGTATGGGGCAGTGGAGTACGATCCTTTGTCATCTAGGCGAGCGGATGATGGCTGCGGAGAACCACATAAGGATAAGAAGGGGTATCTTCCAGGGCGATTGTCTGAGTCCAATCTGGTTCTGCCTCTCTCTGAACCCTCTCAGTACCTTACTGGAGGGCTCCGGGAGGGGATTTCAGCTACGGAAAGGAGGGACAAAAGTGACCCACCTTTTCTATATGGATGACCTCAAGTTATTCGCCTCCAGTCGCTCCCATCTTATGGAATTGTTAAACATCACTTGTGAATTTAGCAATTCTATTGGAATGGAGCTGGGAACGGATAAGTGTGCGGTCCTCCATGTTGAAAGGGGACAGGTTGCTAACTCTGAGGGCGTAGACTTATCTATGCCCGTCAACTTAAGGACCCTTTCCGAGGCTGAAACATACCGATACCTGGGTATGTCACAAAACATCGGTATCGATGAGACTGGTATGAAACAGTCAGTTTGCGACGTGTTTTATGCACGCTTGACCAAAGTGCTTAACAGCCTTTTGTCCGGTGTGAATAAGGCACACGCATATAACGGCTGGGTCATGCCTGTCCTCATGTATACCTTTGGCATACTCAGGTGGACTCAGACTGAACTTAACGCCTTGGATAGAAAAGTCCGCACTACAATGACGTCCCATAGGATGCATCATCCGAGATCGTCGGTAATGAGGCTGTACTTGCCGCGGAAGCATGGTGGTCGTGGCTTCTTGAGCGCGCTCACCATGCATAATCGCGAAGTGTGCAGCCTCCGTGATTACTTCCTGGCGAGATCGGATGATCCATTCTATAAGGACGTCATTTCTTGTGATAAAGGACTTACCCCTCTATCCTTAGCCAACGAGCAATGGCAAGACCCGGCAGTGCAGAGCATTTCCGACCGGGAGACCGTATGGAAGGAGAAGGAGCTCCACGGGAGGTTCTACAAGGCTCTACATGAGCCTTTCGTAGACACAGTAGCCTCCCTCCACTGGCTACGCTTTGGTGATCTCTTCGGGGAAACCGAGGGTTTTGTCTGTGCAATACAGGATCAGGTTATTAAGACCAACAACTATCGGAGATACATCCTAAAGGATGGCACCGTCGACATCTGTCGAGCTTGTCGCCATCCCGGTGAGTCACTTAGGCATGTTATCTCCGGTTGTTCGGCGCTTTCTAACTCTGAGTACTTGCACAGGCACAACCTAGTAGCCAGAATTCTACACCAGGAGCTCGCTCTGAAATACGGTCTCGTGGATCGGAAATTGCCGTATTACAAGTACTTGCCGGAAGCCGTGCTCGAAAATGATCGCGCCAGGCTCTATTGGGACCGTGCCATCATCACAGACAGGACTATTCTTGCGAATAAGCCTGATATTGTGCTGATGGACCGGGCACAGTCAAGGATATTTTTGGTCGACATTACCATTCCGTATGACGAGAACCTCGTGAAAGCCGAAACAGACAAGCAAACAAAATATCTGGACCTGGCTCACGAGGTGACCGACATGTGGGGTGGTCTGCCGACCGAAATTATTCCTGTAGTCGTCTCTGCAAACGGGCTAATCCCAGTCAGCCTCTCGGGTCATCTGAGGCGGCTGGGACTACGTGGCGGACCGCTCCAGGTTCAAATGCAGAAGGCGGTGCTCCTCGATACCGCCCGCATCGTCCGCCGGTTTCTTTCCCTTTCCCCCCTAACCCTCGGCCGTTTGGTCTCCCCTGCCGAGGGCCTCCATCTGGTTGGGCTTTTATTTATTTATGTACTTTTATATTTATTTTATGTTATTGATATTTATGTATATTTGTCTTTTCATTTTCATTTATAATTATATATTTATAGCACCCAACCAGATGAGAAAACTATACAGATACCCCAAAATAATAATATATATATATATATATATATATATATATATATATATATATATATATATATATATATATATATGCCGTAACGTACCTACTCTTAAATTACGGCAGCACAACTAATTGTGAACCATACAAATATATTTAACTGTTGGTATCGCACGCAAATTTTATACGGATCAAGCTGCTGCTAGATTACGATTGCAGCAGGAATGAGTCAGATCGACCGACGATGGATTACGCTCGTACAGATGTCAGCGTAAAATAACCGCATAATGATGTTGTATTTCGTATACTAAGTGTTCTCTACACAGGCCCTTTTTACTGACAAAAAGTCCTTCCATCTTAGGTTTAAGAGGTTAAGACGTGTGCGCATATTGATTTTTAAACGATGATAGACATAAGTAGCGGCCACAATATCCACTTACCGTCAGGTGGACTGCGTGCTCTTTTTTACAAAAGAAAGGGTGAGACCCCTCTATTAAAAATAGAAAATGCGCTAACTACGCTCCTAAGTTCATAATATCATTCAAGATAAATCCTCTGGATTAAAATTCGTTTTTCCCTGCAGAAAATTCGTAATCGTTTAATGCGGGGCATCTGAAAAGAAAAGTGCATAATCACTGTAATGAAAATATGCAAAAAAAAAATGGTTAAGTGCATTTTTTTCTCTGAAAATGGTTCTGTACATTAAATTTTTTCTTTTTAAAATATTTTAGCCGTAGTGGCTCGAGAACTATTTTTGGCTTTTGTGTCATAGTGTTATCACAATATTAATCACTTCTAGGGTTGACTTGGAGAGAATACCTAAACGCATATTAGTCCACCCTTTTTAACCTTTTGATATAGGTGTAGAAAATAAAGTATAAATAAATAAATAAGTGCGCATGCTATCAGAGTTTAACACTTGATACGGGAACTTTTTCTTCTTCCTGCTCTTATACCAAGTTACTTGGACATGTCTTTCTCATCCATTCTTCTAATTAGATTAGCCGTCATCTCTCCACTCACTACTTTCTTACGCATATCATCCAGCCTTAATACATTCCATACATATTTTCATAGGCCTTCCTTTAATCTTATATCCATCCACTTTCATTACCTATAGACAACAAAACAACAGGAATATACCTAAACGTTCAGTTTCCTCTTAGCGGATTTTGCCATAGTTGCTACATGTGGCAGGCGGGATGGCAGCCACGGTTTTTTTATAATTTTGAATTGTTATCAGGAAGTTGCTGCTGGGAACAAGAGATGGGCATCTCCTTTTTGAGTTTCTCTGTCGCTTCTACGACACCCACGGGATACTCTTAATATTGTGTAGTGGGTATTCTCACATTATCACCACACGGTTGGTAATGACATAGTTAGTAAATTTAATCTATGTTGAATAAAAATTATTCCCTTCTAGACCAATATCGGTGAAAATAAGCCGTTGTAAACACCAAAACAAAATCTATTTTCAACTGTGAAATTGTTGTTTTTTGTTGTTATTTTTAAATATATACAACAAGCAATGTAATTCGTCAATTAAATGTCGTCAATAAATTTTCGAATTAATATTCGTCAATTAATGTAATTCGTAATTAAATTATATATTTTTCTAATTAAATATAACATATAAAATTGACAAGTTGATATATGGAAGGATAATGCGGGTGGTAATATTGTGGTTTCTTATATTTACGCGAACACTACACATTGAATAAAAACTATTTATACAGATTCTATCGCGTTTAATTAACTTATATTTAATTCCCGACGTTCAAATAATGAAAATCCGCGTCAAACAATATATAGCTCACGTCAAGCACCGACGCGCTGGGAAGTCTGCAGTGTGTGAACATGTTCAAGCTCGTCCCCACAATTACATCAGATCTGATAAACCACAAATACACGAGGCTATTGAGATCAAAAAACACCCTATTCTCAATAGAGAAGATGGATGGGTGCTGCCATCTGCTTGAGATCCTAAAATTAACAAAATTAAACCCAAATCCAAGTATAACACTGCAAGGCTTAAAAATTCTGTAAAACACTCAATTATTATATATTATATAAAATATATAGTAATTTTTGCTAAAGTCTTTTATTCATGAAATTACTGTGAAATAAACCTAAAACTATTGCATACTATTTATTTACCTCTAACATACATATATATTAGTTATGTACTAAAATATCGTTTTGTTTTGTGGCAGCGGGCCCCTAAAAAGAGCAAAAGGTAAGATCAACATTGTTTAATAGTCGCGCGGCGGGCAAAGTTTCGCGCGCCTCATTCATTATGTCCAACAAAGAATATTTAATGCTGTACAAACACCTAGCCGAAGTCTAAAGCTTTTGGGGTTAGTGAGTGAACTTATTAGGCGAACATCCGTTGTTGTAATATTGTATTATTGAAGAGAAACTTATTTATCGACGACGTACTGGAGAAATTTTGTACGGTATTAAAAACAAAAACATCACGTTTTATTGTAACTATTCGACGCCGGGGCCGCATGAGTATACTATTATGTAACCTACTTTGTAAAATAATAGAACAATGAAATGTTGCAAAGAAGTTTCACTTTATACGTGTGTACACAATATTTTTTTATAAAAATATGAAAGGGTTTTTTATTTAATAAAGGGCCGGTTTTTTCAATCCTCAGTTTAAATTATTTCGTGGAATAAAGTGCACGATTGGCTGGCGGGTTGTTCACAAACAACACATTAAAGCAAATTGAAAGTTTCAGTTATATGAATAAAATAGTTCAATTGTTTCACTTTTATATTTAGTCAAGTTATAATTTATTTAATGGATAACTGTTAACTGACTGTTAAAAAACCGGCACTAATTATGATTATAATCCTGAAAGTCTTTAAAATTGGTTCATCTTAGACACGTGATATAAGTCAATATAGTAAGTGTTGCGGTGCTGTAGTCGCGCCACAAGCGAAATGAACCGAAGCCTAAATCACGCTTTCAAAGTTCCGTAGTACAGCGAGTATATATAACATGTAACAAACTACCCTATGGGTCCCGTTTAGTACGTTATTAGAATCAGTATTCAAACGTATAGAAATAACATTTTTTTTCAGACCTTGACCATTAAAAAAATTAAATTTAATAAAAAAATAATTTGCAAATTGTATGTGGTTTTACCTCTGCTTTGTTTGCGGAATAAGAGTACTTTCAAAGATCCCGCTTTACCGATGCTCATGTCAGTTAGAGGTAATACGCATAAAACCACATAAAATTTTCAAATAATAATTTATTTTAATTAAACAAAAATTTTAATGATCGAGTTTATTTATATATACTTTTGAATACTTATTCTGATAATGCACTTAACAGGGTATTTGTACATGTTGCATGGAATAGCTCCGAACTATCCAATGATATTATAAGTAATTCTTATAATATCATTGGAGCTTTGGCCACTCACTCCACGGCCTAAACACCTTGCCCGGCGGGAGATCTCCCTTTTTCTATCTACGGCCAAATAGGCAATGAATAGATCTAATATGTAATATTACTTTACCGTTACAGCATATTAAAATCTGGTACTGAACATAGGTCACCCCCATAGATTGCATGTGTAGATTCTGGATGTTTGCCAAAGTTGCCAGGTTTGCCAGCGGGTCGGCAACCGCAGGTTTTTATTTTTCGTCGTTATTAGAAAGACTGCTGCTCGTCCCTGATTTATTTTACTACGCCGCCTCTTACAACACCCACGGCATGATATAGGATAGTGGATATTCCTACACTGCCACTACACGGTAACTTATTTTACCTTAACTCATACTTAATACCCAAATTTGATCAAGTAACTCGAGTAATTTTCCTTCTTTTACCGAAATTCGTTTAAAATATTTCGTAACTACATATTTCATTGAATCGATTATTTAATACCGATGTATGGTGATTTAACCAAACCTAATCCACGGCCGGCTGTGTTCGCGAGTGGGTAGGGTCACCACCCTCTCCCGTGATGTTTGGTAACAGCGCGTCAAGACCCCGCCACTTACAAATCTACAAATCTTACACCCTCATTTTTGCGTATTGAAAAGTGGATATGATGTGCGTACGAATATTTAATTTAAACAGATGTGCCTTTTTCCATGTTGGGTCATGTTGTTCGGGATTATGTTTGTTTATCCGCGCTCAACGTGATGTTGCTCGCGGTGGGATTACGAGTCTGTGTCAATTTCATCATCTGAAGGATCACGTTTTTAAAACACCTACCGCGTGGAGATTGATGACCGTTTGTTTTAGTTCCTTTTTTAATATTTTGTGTTTGCTTTTCGCTCTAATACTAATCGAATGGGTCACTGATTTTTTGATATGACCTTTTGTGGAATAGGATACAATGATTTTTATTAAGTATAGATTACAAGAATGTTTATTGAAAGTAGGGCTAATTTAGGCTTTATAAATAGTTCGGAAAAATACTATATCCTAAGAAAGACCAACAAGAAACCCAGTTATCTTTAGGAACACCTTGAAAATATTACTTAAAAAACAGTTAATCATCATATTTACTGTGCTGTCAGGTGAGTGCTGTCAGTGATTTCATTGTGAAAACTGCAAATATATATATATATATATATATATATATATATATATATATATATATGGACGAATAAGGCGGCTCGACCGTAGAAGGACCACGCTCTCACAGAATACCAGCGTAAAATAGCAGCTTAGCGTTGCTGTGTGGACGCAACCACTTACCAACAGGTGGACCGTGTGCTCGTTTGTGACCCAATCATATAAAAAAGCTCTACACTAATTACTCTGTCAACTGAACAGTGAAGTTATATATATATATATATATTAAAAAGAGCCGTGGTAGCTCAGTGGTTAACGCTCGCTGTAAATATAAAAGAACGCGAGTAACCCGGGTTCGATCCCCGCCGGCACCAATGAAATTGTTAATTGCAATTTTAAGTGCTGATTTACCACGTGCTCGGCGGTGAAGGAAAACATCGTGAGGAAACCTGCATGTCTGAGGAATAAGAAAAAAAATATTTCGAAGACATGTAAAGTTCGTCAACACGCATTTGGGCAGCGCGGCGGACACTTCCTTGCCCTAAACCCTCTCAGAAATGAGGGGAGGCCTGAGCCCAGCAGTGGGACGTATATAGGCTGTAACTTTACTTTACTTTACTATATATATATATATATATATATATATATATATATATATATATATATATATATATATATATATATATATTATATAGTGAAGTTATAAAGCAGCGCCATTTTGACTTTAGATTATTTGATTTACTGTAAAGCTATCGTATCACAGATCCATCTATGAAAACAAGGCTGTAGTGTAGGAAAATGACATTACCCCACACATATGTAGAAATAATATCCTTAGTAGTTAGTAACAAAATGTATCATTGGTAGGACTGTCTAATTTGACTGAACTTAAGTAGTTTTATTTTTATTATGGTTGTAGAAAGAATGGGTTGACTCTACCAGGAAAGGACCAGGGTACCGCTCTATGACGACGTATTCTGTAAGAACGTCGTAGTTCCCCGGTCGAGCCGATCCATTCATGTTACAACAATAATATAGCTACGGCTTTTCTTCACCACATAATCGAGGATACATATAGATGTCTATGGGTTACAGCACAGCACCCACTTACTATCCATTTTATGAAATAAAGATGACACCTTATTTAAAAAAATCGTTATAAATATACATCTTTCTCATACGCCTCATATGAACGAGTAATATCACAACTTGAAGAGTCTCGAATGGCAATCGATAGAGCACCTGCAGTTCTAATAAAAGTCTTCCAATGTTTGCTTTATTTTTCCTTCAAAAATAAAATACATTGTACCGCGACGGGGCCGGTATTGGATGGCGAACGATCTGCGAATGCAGCGCCTTTTATATGAAACGTAAAATCGTTTTATTAGTGTTACGTCCTTATCAATATTGCCCGTGTGCTGATGGAAATTTCAGCGAGTGAATTTCCTTGTGAAGTGTCTTCCGAACAGCTGACGGAACCTCTTACGACGAGTGATAAAATCGTTTTATTAGTGTGGCGTCCTTTTGGCGGAATTAAAGTGCGGAAACTAGAATTTATTTTTAAAAATTTTCGCCCTTCTCGTTCTGTTTCATATGTCGAAAAGACCATGGTGTTATTTGATAGACTTGTTTTATTTATTGATTATTTATTGTACATATTACGAAAAAATATTATAAAGGTATAAATAATATAACGCTCTAAATGAAATTTATAGTTAGTCAGAAAAGAAACTACAACTTTTACACCTATTTATAAAATTAGAAATAGACTAATATTATGTACATTAATAGATATACCATAAACTTATATAAAATCTACACACACACACACACACACACACACATACACACACACACACACACACACACACACACACACACACACACACACACACACACACACACAC